CATTATAAAAATATTTGATTGAGCTTTGAACTTATATTTCATTTTATTTACCTACAGGCCTCTCCATAACCTAATATACTCTCTACTTTATTACGTTTATCCAATAAGTGTGTCACTTGACAATTACGTTAAGTCGCATTTTACATTGGTTGTTAAAATCTGGTGGTAATGCGGCAACATCTCTGCCAATTTAAATGCAATAAATATTGTGCGAAAGGCAATAATGTAAAACAATTTCCCATTAAAATTCAGTACATACAAAAAATATGTTAAGTTTTTGCCAAATCGGACTTTTTATGGTTTGAGTTTTCAGTACTCAAACTACACAATTTGTTCTGTTTGACAAACATTTTTACTTAAAACTTCATATGTCGCACTATGGGCCGATAGCATGTTTTGAGGCAAAAACTTATTTTCTCAAGTTAGTCGTTTGAATAAAAAATTAGTGGGATTATGTTCATAACACCTTATACCGAGCAGCAGAAGATGCCATATTTTCTTTTCACTATTTCCTGACATTTCAACTTAATAAAACCTTATATTATTATTGGTGTCAAACAAAAACTTATAAATATAAAATCGCTTGAAACTTATGTATGATAAGCTATAGCTATCAAGGAATTGATTTGATCTTGACGGAATTTTATCGTATGATCCAAGAAACAATTTAACAACTTAATAAGACAAAACTAGAAGGGTTGGTGTAACATTTACAAAAAAAAATGAGGGGAGTATATATGGGAGCTATATGTAAATCTGAACCGATTTCGACCTAAAAGTGTCAAAAGTATTTCTTAGCTGTAACATCGTACCAATTATCATTGTTATAGGGTTCATATTAGGACTCTGAAGGGCCTAAATCTCAAATTGGATGAAAGTTATATGTGGGAGCTATATCTATATTCTTGCCGATTCGAAGAAAATTTGGCAAATGATGTTATCATCATTACCAGCACCTAAAAACAAACTTTGGAAGTTCTACCTCGTCCCTGTGATTTGATTTTTCAGACTTTCAAGGACTTTTTTTAATATTTTTTTCAGTTTTTCCTTTTCGAAAAGAATAATAAGAAAATGTATACGTTTTACACCAAAAAAATCAAAATCTTTTATTTTTAAGTTTGCCGAGGAAGATACTAGTATACCAATACCAATGGGCCCATATATTTCCAAAACCACATTCTTATTTTAACCCTACCTTGATAACAATTTTTTTTTCATTTCATTTCATTTCAGAACTTTTCGTAACCTTAAAGTTCGAATTTCCATAAACTCTTTTATACATCTGTCTTATCTAAATTTACGATGCTGTGTTTGAACTTCCTTCGCTCATATTTCGAGAAAAATAATTCTAAATTTTGGTTCCGCTAAGGAATATCACCCCCCTTGGTACTACAAATGTTGAACGGGTAGAGAAATAATTATGAAAATCTGGAGGAAAGTCAACTTGTCGTTTAGGAGTCTACGATGTTCCAAAAATATGTCAATGAAGTACATTTGTTAAATTTGAAATTCGATTTGTATGCGATTTATATTTCTTAAAAATGGAGTTTAACCCTTTGTGATACATTTAGTTTAGGGACCATATATTCTCAACGATCAATATAACATTTTTAGGCCAAGTTTATTTGAATCTTTCTGCATTTAATACGGTAATACGGTTTTTGTTCTCTCTGAACAAAAAGGAAAACAAAACTAAAAAAAGAATTGTAAAATGTATGTGAAGAGCTTTTACTAAGCAAAGTACTAAGAAGGCGAAAATATCCTCTATGAAAAATACAATTACAAAAATAACTAAATTTTGCATAGTTTCCTGACGAAAAAAAAAATAATATGCGGATTTATGACGTTATTACAAAAATATGAAATATCACGGTGATCACTGCAGGTGTCAAAAATGTGTTTTACATTTTCGACCAATAAATAGAAATGGTACTAAAGACGCAAAACGGCAGAACCGATCTCTTAGCTTGAAATAAATTCCAAATTAAGGCGGAATCTGGGGACAAGAATGTTTTCCTATGGACTAAAAAATCACCACATTATTTCTCCCAATCAGTGTTATGGATTAAAAAAATATATATATTGAAAAAATTACTGAACTTTATTTGAAAATCAACCAATTTGAAAAGTATAGCCAACAACCCAGACATTATCCTTAGTATTAACACATCCATTACAATTTCAAGATTTTTTTCATTCCAACGTTACACAAAAAATCTCTCTTATGTATGTGAAACGTAAGAGCAATAATTACCCCCAACAGAACAAAAAGACCGATTTGTTGAGAAATGTAATAAAGCATCAGACATCATCGTCATAATCATAAAAGGTGAAAGAAAATGATTACAAAGAGCCTGCACCAAGTATCATCAGAATTAAACAAAATGATGATGATGAGCATCAATCCAAAAATGAAAGACCATAGCCGGCCAAAGGTCAATTAAGCTAGACTTCAGAAAAAGAAAAAAATATAAGACTGACCTGACCAATAAATGGAAGTAATTGAAGTGCAAACATCAAGCAGACGCAAAATTTAATACCATGCTGTCGGTTGGAGAGCGATAGAGAGTAACTGAATTACCCGTATTACTACACATGAGTCGGTTTTGAAGTGAGTTAAGAAACATTAAAGGAGGCAGACTGACAGGCAGGCATGCACTTCACAAGTACTTCATCATTTTTATTTTCAGCTGAGAACGAAAATTAAATACGAAGAGGGCGATAGATGTAAATGTAAACGAAATTGGGTGCGGCCATAAAGGCAGCAGCACATCTGCCTTTGTGATATGGATACCTAACGATAAAGATGATAATTGAAGTCTGGGCCCTTTTGTGAGCAAAACCCACTCGAGCAAATGAGACGCATTCGTGCAGGCGTTTTTATTAAACATTTCCACATGAGTTTTGTTGTAAAAAAAAGTCAGAGATGTGGCTGGCTCATCAACTGATATTGGATGGCTGCATGGCTGGCTATCAGATGCTAGTATTACAAACGTAGATTTCAATTACACATCCTACCGTTTCATTGATTTTCATGTTAATATCACAAGGGTTTCTTTGATGGAAGTTGCCTTGTATTCTTATCACTACTTCATCTTCTGTAGAAGCAATGGCCAATAAATATTTTTGAGAAGAAAGAAACTACTTTTTTACATTACATTTGAAATATGGACGCACCTAAATTATATTGTCTAACCTTTCTGGTATTTCAAAAAAAAATCCCTTTCAGTGCTGCCAGTTAACTGATTGAAAATTGATAATTTTGTAATAAATCACCTATAAACGGAATACAAAACGTCGGAGATTATCAGTAACTAGATTACATTACATTCTGAATTAAAAACGTTATTCCATTCAGAAATCTGTCTACCAATCAGTCGAAAAATGTTTATATGATATTTACACAATGTGTATTTTGATCAGAACTTAATTGGGTCATGAAATGATGAAATGAATGATGAAACTTACCAAATTGCTATAAAGCAATTTCTTATTTATTTTTAATATTAGAATTTCATTTTAATACTTCATTAACATAACGAGGAAGAATTTTAAGGCGGTGACAACAGGTCGTAGAAGAAAAAAACAATTAGAAATAGCAGCATCGAAATCCAGAATCCGGGTTCATTAAAAATCTTAATTGCAAGAAAATCGTTGCTGAAGTCATAATAAGATGCGGTAATGTAAAATTGGACCCATACCGAAAATGGGGCCTACAATTATTTTTTTAGTTTGTTAATAAAGGCATTTGACTACAATTTGGAAGACGTTTAAGTACCAAAAATGTTGCGGCACAGTTACAACCAAAATTTGGACCTTCAAAGAAGTTATTTTTTGTGTAGAGGGTCAAGCCAAAATAGCAAGTTTATCGAGTTGCTTGAATGTGAAGTGGAATTATCATACGGATGCCTGCTCCACAGAAAAGCAGACGTTGTAAATAGGATTCGCTCCCAACCCGATTCTAAGAACTCTCTGACTTAACATACACAGGTATGGAGATTCTCTATGAAAACGTGCACCTATTTCGTCAACATCTACGAAATGCTTGAAAGCAAGCTGTGCATGTTTATGGGGGCTGCTTCTCCAAAATTTGAGCGATTTCTTTAATTCATTCCGAATTCGGCATATCCATTAACAATCCAAAATACAAGGTGGCGCAAAAGTAATCCTTCTATCAGAAAATGCTATACATTTTACAATTGGCCCCTAAAGTCAGTTCTGTTTTGACATTTTTGTAGGAAACACATGCGAAATACACGTTTATAAACAATTGTACGCTTCACTGCTCCAGAACGCGGAATATTGGCCAACAATCGTGAATTTCGTCGCAGATTTTCTGGCCTTCCAACGCCTACTATTGAAACAGTAAGACGTCTAGCCGCTTGAATGAAATGATGCTGTCTGGCGTGGCAGACCGCGGACTATCCGTTCTGCAGAGAATATTGCTGTTGTAGCCGAGGATGTCATGGAAGCGTCGTCGACATCGACCAGACGACGTGCCACGCAAATGGATATCAGTCAAGGGTCTTTACAGCGAATTTTGGTACAAGATTTAAAGATGTTTCCGCACAAAGTCCATACATGCATCAGCTTTTTGCTGTTGACCGCCAATCGCGTCTAACATACCCTCAAACCATCCTTAATCACCATTTCCAACTTAGCGGGCACGTATATAAGCAAAATTTACACTTTGGGGCACCGAAAATCCGCGTGTAACCCACGAAGAGCCATTACACCCGCTCAAAGTCATTGCGCCACCTTATATATAGCTATGGCCCGGCAGAGAATCCATTCCAGATTCCCTGTTCTATATTAAAACTTGTTTTATGGTGAAATCAATTATTCCGAAAATTCGTTAAATTTGGCGCTCTATCAAAGATTCTGCCCAAATTTTCAAATTACTGCTAATTGGTTTGAAAATTGGGACCGGATCCTCGGAAAACCAGGAGATACCCTTACATGATGATTTAGTTGGTAATTGGAGCAGAATATCCTACACTGAGGGAAAAATCCCGTTGCGAAATCAAGCACGTATGTTGTCATTTTCGCAACGACCCGTTGTTATATTTTTCAACAACGGCTGTTGGTGAATTGTGCACGAACGTGCTCAAATTGACACCGAGACGTGGTCAACTTTCGGTACCAACAACAGCCGTGCTTAATTTGTCCATTTGTAATATTGGTAATTGCAGCCGATTACACACGAGTAAAAAATGACAACGGTGGTGCATGATTCACACACGGTCGTTGTCAATATGACACCGGTCGTGTATGAATTATGCACCACCACCTGCATAATGATGCACCACCGTTGTTACTTTGTACACCGACGTGCATGAATCGTACACGATCGTTGCCATTTTAGCAACTACCGTGTATGAATCATGCACCACCGTTGTCATTTTTTTTACTCGTGTGCAATCGGCTGCATATTTACCATTTTTTCCGTGTTATTGAAAGAGAAAGGACGCATTGTGCAAAAAATTTATTGAAAATGAATAATAATTCGCAAGATCCTCAAAATATCATTGGTGAGTTGTTAGAAATCGATGGCAATATTGTTGTGGTTCGCGATACAAACCATTGCAGCAGTCAAGATGCGGAAAACAATGAGGACGATTATATGTTAAGGGAGTTCTTAAAAGGAATAAATATGGAGTCGCTTTTTGAACAATTAAAAGGTAAGTAAATAAAAATGAATTTTTCAGTTAATCAGTGTAATTAACAAAGAATTTTCTTTTTTGTTCTTTTAGCATCACATGTAACATTTCGCAGCTTGCAGTACTTGAAAAAAGAAGATTTAAAGGAAGCAGTGCCACCATTGGGACTGCGTGTTGAATTCAGAGAAAAGCTCTTTGCTTGGAAAAAACGAAAGGTACGTATTATTTGTTTTACAGAGTTGAACTCAGTATTAATATTGTCATAACAATAGCTCGGGATTGATGACGAAACTATGTCAGTTCCATCTAAAATAGGTGAATGGTGGAAACGCAACGAGACACCTGCAAGTACTCCTGGTACTCCCGACACTACAGGTTCGAACTGCTCAAAAGCCAAAGGAATTTTGTCAGAGGTAAGGTAAGAGTAATATTTGTGTAAGCATAGTTAATGTAGTTTTTTTATTTAATATAGGATCTAACGGAATTGTTAACACATACCTCGAAGGGGAAACTAGCGCTTGAATGTAGTAGCGTTAATAAGAAATTAAGTGACGAGCAAAGAGATGATATAATTAATATAATTATTGAAGATATTTTAACCAACAATGTTACTCTTTACACTCAAGACTATATGCGCATATTGGATGAAATTTGTTCCGTTTTTCCTCTTGAAAACGAAATGAGGGTAAGATTAACAATATAAACAACGTATCTGATTATGTAGTTTCTTAACTTATAATATGTCTTTATTTTTAGGATTATTATTACATTTCAAGAAAAGGAAAGAACAACGCAAGCGGAAAACTTTATGCCAAGTATAGAAACAAGAAGTCCAAAAGAATAAAGCTTTTGATTTCCGAGCCTAGCACAAGCAAAGCAGCAACTCACACATCTCCTAATTTTTGTAACAAAGATGTTCCCGAAATTGATGAATCAGTTGAAAATTCATTGAAAGCTTCCTTACTAAGAGAATGTAATGATTGGGGATCGATCTGCGAAAAATGGAAAAGATCTTTTAACATACGGCAAAGAGATATAAAAAATATAAGTAGCCATACATTTCTCCTTGAATGGACGAAGTTGTCCGATGCAAGAGCTTCAGAATTGGTAAGTAGCCATGAGCTATTTATTTGTATATGGATACTAATGTTTCGTTTTAGGTCAACATTGATTTCGATATTATGTATCCACAGAAAGGCAATCTTCTACTTTCTAAATGGGACCAATTTAAGAAAAAAATTTACAATTATTATGGGAAAAATATTCATAACGAACATTGCAAACAACTCTTCGCAAATGTTTTGACGGCAAGCAGCATAGGTAAATTTTAATTCCTGATTTATCATAAACATTAAAAGTAATATTTATTTTATATTTCGGTTGCAGATGCTCAAGATTATATATACGCAATACTGTTGAATTCAGTTTTACCATCACCTGCTAGGTTTAAATGTGGAAACGGTAAATTACGAAAAAAAGTAACAATAGCTGATTCGCAGGAAAGTTTCGTACTGCGACTACCGACAATTAACGATTATAAAAGGCAAATTGATACAGTCACTGAAAAGTATTACAATGCTGGATTAACTATACAGCCATTTATAATTGTGGAGGGTTTGTCCGATTTGAATATAAAAGGTTTTTATGTTTTTTTTAACCACAATTTGTTAAAATTTCAATCGTTCCTCGAATGTTTAGATACATGTTTTAAAATTTTTCATGCACTTTCTTTAAAATATCCAAATGCCTGCCAAATTCCATGGATTTTTATCCAAAAATATTTTTATGAAATTAATACTGTATATGATATAAAATCAGTTAATTTGACTTCACTTATTAATTTCTGCAACAATAATTAAAGTACAATTCAAAATGTATATTTGCTTTCGTTGCCGTAAGCATTTTGATAAGGCAAATCTTTTAATAGCTCATTTGAAAACAGACCATTTAATGTCCACTAAATTTTTAAAAGTACAATGCGTTCAGGACAACTGTAAGCAAACATTTACAAAATTTACGTCATTCAGAATTCATTTAGAAAAACTTCACAAGAATCACACAAAAGCTCCACCAATGGTTAAAGCCATTAATGTGCCAGTTGAAATGTCATCATCAAAAGAAAATGATTATACAAACAGTGAAACTGTTATTAACAACAATACAATAGAAAAGGATTTAAATGTTTTGAAAAAGAAAACCTTATATCTGTCTTTACAATTACATGGTCAAAGCTATATGCCTAGAAATCATGTTATAGAAATACAACATTCTGTTTCAATTCTGCTTTCATCCATTTCATGTACAATTGAAAAATATATAACTGATCATCCAAATTATGAAGACTTAAGGTACTTACTAAACTTTTGTAAAAATCCTTTCGAAGAAACTAGAACGGAATATAGACTTTTAAAAATTTTAAAAGAACTAAACTTTTATGATGATCCAAAGGTTTATGTAATTAGCAATCAAGTCTCGGAAATTGTTATCAGCGGAAATCCCAGTTTAGGTCCAAAGTTATCCAATATTTATATAATGCCACTGAAATTCATGATAAGTGCCCTTTTTAAAATTCCAAATCTCTTAGATTTGACATTAGAAAACTCCAAAAAATTCCTAAATTCACCTGTTTTACAAAATTTTACAAACGGTGAGTTATATAAAACTAAATTATTAAAATATCAGTACAATTTAGTTATTCCCTATGTCCTTTACATGGATGATTTTCAAATTAATAATCCTCTTGGAACCCATACATTTTCCATATGTGGTTGTTATATTAGCTTTCCTTCAATGCCACAGCACTTGTTGTCAAAACTTGATTATATATTAACTGCTGCGTTTATACCATCAAAGGATTTAAAAGAACGTGGAAATGAAGTTTCATTTCACAATCTTGTAGAAGAGTTAAAAATTCTAGAAGAAGGGGTTGAAATTTGTGTTCAACAAAGTGTTCAGAAGGTGCATTTTATTTTAGGTGTAATTATTGGAGATAATTTAGCAGTTAATAGTATTTTAGGCTACGTGCAATCATTTAACTCTAAAAGATTTTGCCGGGTATGTAGAAGAAAAAAGTCCCAAATGCAATTCGACGCAATTCAGCATTTAGATAGTTTAAGAAACCAAGAGAATTACAACTCAAATGTATTGGAAAATAATTTTCAAGAAACAGGTATTAAAAACAAGTGTATCTTCGAATCTTTACCAAATTTTAACGTCACTGAAAATTTTTGTTTTGATATTATGCATGACATTTTCGAGGGCATATGTGTCTACGATATGTCTAATGTAATTCTCGGGCTGATTCAAGAAAATATTGTTACGTTAGATTGTATTAACAGCAGAAAATCTTTATTCCAATTTGGAGAAATTGAAGTGGGAAATAAATCTGGACCACTAGATTTATGTAGATTGAAAAACTATAACTTAAAAATGACAGCTAGTGAAACTATGTGTTTTACTAATTTTTTACCTTTAATGGTAGGCGATTTAATTCCTTTCTCCAACGATCACTGGAAAGTTTTTATAATATTATTACAAATAATCGATTTACTTTTAAGACCAAGTTATATAGAAGACGATTTAATAAAATTGGAAGAATTAATTAGAGATCACCATTCACTTTATATAACATTATACGGTTCGTTAAAACCGAAACACCACTTTCTTGTCCACTATCCCACAGCTATCCGAAAATGTGGTCCCCTTAAATATCTCTGGAGCATGAGATTCGAAGCTAAACACAAGGAAGCAAAAGCCTATTTAGGAAATACTACATCAAGAGTAAATCCCTGTCGTTCATTATCTATTAAGTCTGGATTGAAATTTTCCAATTTTTTATTAAAACACGAAGATAACTTAGAACCAAATGTTATCATTAATACGCATACCATCGAAGATTTGGCAAAAGAGGAATATTGTTACAAAAAAAGTAAGCCAGTTTTAAATTACCAAAATTGCAAAGTGTCTGATGACATTTTTTTTAAGGGAACTAGGTATAAAAAAAACTATTATTTAGCAACAAATAATGCCGCAATTGAACTTTTCAAAATTAAACATTTAATAATTGAAAATGAAAATGTTTACATTTTATGTAACCAAGTAAAAGTTAAAAACTTTGATTACCATTTACAATCGTATGAAGTTGGTTCTCTGAATGAGGATACAATTTTTTTAATACCAATTTTAGATTTTATTACTTACCCATTTCACTTATATCCTATGAATAATGGAAAAGTTTATTTCAGATTTAAGTTAATTTAATTTGTTTCTATACATTGAATATATGTAATTCGAATTGTTTTGTTAAATCAAATATGTATTTATATTGAATTTATGTAATTGGTTTCGTTCAATAAAATACTTTTCAAAAAATGTCGTTTCTTCTACTAAGGGTATAAAATGGAAAAGGAACGGATATCAAAAAATGACCACCATTGATTTCAATCTGACAACGGGCGTTGACAATCCGACAACGGAGCGTTGACAATCTGACAACGAAGCGTTGACGATCTGACAACGAAGCGTTGACAATCTGACAACGGGGCGTGCTCGAAATGACCACGTATGTGCTCATTTCATGCACATCTGTTGTTGAAATCGTTGCCAAAATCTCGGTGTCAAAATGACAACAGCGTGCTCATTTTGACACCAAACGTGGTTGATACACTATCATACACGGATGTGGTCATTTCATACACGGATGTTGTCATTTTTTCTCTGGGTGTACATACCGAAAAAATGGGAGCTATACCTACATATATATTTTATTACCAATACAAAATATCCTAGGTATGAAATGTCCGTGCTGTCTGATTTCAACAGATGGACAGAGGTACTGATATGATTAAGTTGACGTAGATTTTTACGCTGATCATGAATATATTTACTTAATGGGTTCTCAGACGAATACTTTGAGGTTTCCCAAATGGAAAGCCAAACTTTAATACACCCTCTAACTAGAACCGATGTTTACAACTTGGAACATTTCGAAAAAAAAAAACACAAATTAAATTAAAATTTGGTAAATTTCTATAATGGGATTACACGTGAACTGACATAGCGAGCACACGGACATGATGAAATTGAATAGATTTACATAGGTCTTCATTATCTTCCCACTGAGAACACCATGGATCAACATATCAGTCATATTTTCGGTTAACGACACATGATATTCGACATTTTAAATTTCTGGTATCCTTATAACGTAATTTATTAAATACAGGCTAGGAAATCTCAAGTTAACCAGTTTACCTTATCCATAAAGTCTGTGTTTACGATAAAATTTTATGCTGCCAACCCCAAACGGGAGAATTTGTTTTGTTCAAACCAACAACTCATTGAAAAAGGCCGCATATCGTTGAACATAAAAAATGTACCGTTTGTTGTTAATACGCCAGATCAATAAAAAATATTTGTTGTATTTGGATTTTATTTCAACTTGTCCGGCATGAAATAAATGTGTCTGTAAATCACTCGAATATCTTTGGCCAAGGATAAATTGGTAACGTTTGTTCAGCTGTTCTGTTTTTTTGGGGGGGTGGGGAGGAGGGTATTTCGATTTTCATTTGATTCTCGTTTACCAAAATGCAAAACAGAATATTGACATTTGAAAACATGAGAATGCTGGGTGAATAAAGTTCAGGGTACTCATAAAATTTGAATGAGCGACTGGCTACACATGAAGAAATAGTATCGCCCCAATTTAATGGATTGTGCAGCTCTGGGCGAAAACTCGAAAGAAAAACTTAGTGTGGGTGGATATTTTTTTAATTAAAATCAAATGAAATTGAAATAACAAATCAACTGTCAAAATACACTTAAAGGCAATCCCTGTAACTTGAACTATGACATCAATCGTCGAAGTGCTTACAAGTGCTTTTAAATAATGGAAAAAGAAACGAATTCTGAGGAGCTAACCCCAATACATAGATTAAAATGTAACGCAAATGGTTAGAAATTTTTCAGTTTGATTACTTTTTATAATTAAAAACGAAAAAAACACCAAATAGATACTAAATTCCAGCAACTCCAGCCCAGCAGTGCCCCTCCTTAATTTTATTAAATCCATCGCTGCCAACCAAGATTTCTCATTTCGTTTTAACCACAATTTCTTAGTTCCAATCAGTTTTTATTGCTTCTTTGCTTATTTCCATAAAGAACTGAAATCTGACAAAGAAACAATCGACGAAAATTGAAATGGATTCGTAACCGTTTTTTTTCCTTTTTTGTAGCTGGTGGTTTATTGCGAAATACTCATTACAGAGTTCCACACAAAAAATTCATATAAATGTATGTATGTATGTATGTATATCAGTTGTTGTTGAATACTTTGGAGTTTGTTTTTCCAATTCGTTTTGCATTGTTCTTTAAGTTGTTTTCAGAGTTTTTATTTAGATTTCAACAAAAATATTTTTGTTGCTAAGAATGTTGATTAGGAAGAAGTTTTTTTATTTTGCAATGCTTGATTTTATTGTCTGTTACCACATAGTGATCAAATAATAAAGGGCGTTTTTTAGCTATTATCTTATTGACAACACTGGTTTAATCAGCTCACACACGTTTCCTGTTTTGTTTCGCTGTAAAACATTTTGAGTTTGGTTTATCATTTAACCATGAATCGTCTTACAGACGAGCAAAATGCGTACTCTGTTAAGAAAGTTCATGGGCACTTCTTCCATTTTATGATCTATAAAGCACAGATTTGCTCGTTTTAACTCGAGAGTAAAACTTAGTCGCGAACGAGATTTTTGCCAAGGGTGGGGGTTCTATACGAAGTTTACTCTTCACCCTTTTATTCTGTGTGAGAGCGCTGCCGAGTCACTCTTGTTTGAAAAATGAGAATCGCTAGAAATAGAGAGTTAGAGTTTGCTTTAATAGTGAAATCAGTGGTCTTGGATATACATGCTAAGTGTGCGAACTGTACTCAATGCTACTAAATCTGGAACAATGTGTTTAATTATGTACGGATGAAGCTGGAATTTTGAAAGGTCGTGTTGAGTGTGAATGGTCGTGATGTGGTTTTGAAATATGTACTACAAGTGTATGGATAGTAATAAATAGTACTATATTATATGAAAGTGGCTTCGGAAATGTGCGCTATAATTGTACGAAACTGTACGCCAAATGCGTACTATATTTGTTCTAAAAGTTCAAA